AAGATCTGATCAGCAATGTTTGTGAGAACATCCACATAAAAAGTCTGTCCATCTATGGTTGGCCTCTTCATCAGCTTGTCCATTTTGAATTTCATCACTAAATCGCCAACATTCAGCTCTATTCTACCCTTCCTGACGTCAATAATAGCTCCTGCAGTAGCTAAGAAGGGTCTGCCAAGAATCAAGGGGTCTTTGGGCTCTTCTCCATACTCTAGAACCACAAAATCAGTAGGGATCATACAATCTCCTATTTTGATAGGAACATCCTCTATCTCTCCTTCAGGAACTCTGACTGATCTATCAGCTAGGACAAGAGATATCCTTGTAGCCTTAAAATCGGTCATCCCCAAACTCTTGGCAACAGAATGAGGCATGAGGTTCAGACTAGAACCAAGATCACACAATGACCTCTCAAACTTGTCATTGAAGATAGTGCAGTCTAAAACAAAACTTCCTGGGTCTGAAAGCTTCTCTGGAACTCTGTTTTGAATCACTGCACTGACCTGCTCGTTGATCATCATAGCTCCAACCTCAAGACTCAAGTTGTTGGTCACCATCCTCTTCACATACCTCCTTATAACAGGAGTGATCCTTACAGCATTTATTAATGGGATCTCTATTACCAACTTGTCCATGATAGCCTTGCATCTTGCATCTTCAAGCTCTTGCTTAGACTTCTTAGGATGCTTAGGATAGGGTATCTTGGGTTTATACACGGTCTCCTTAGCATTATCTGAAGTCTTAGGCAAAACTGCAGCATGTGGTGTCTGGTGACGAGCGTCACTGGAATGGTGGTGAGCGTCACCCAATTTGGACGAGTCGGGATTGATCACTGGATATGGGTGACGAGCGTCACCCATCTGGTGACGGTCGTCACCAATTTGTGAAGAGTCGGGGTCGGGGTTGTGCTCGATGGGTGACGAGCGACACCCATTATTGGTGGCGAGCGTCACCTGTGGTTCTTCAGCAAATATTTCTTCATCTTCATACTCTTCCATACCCACGAAATTCCTTGATGTTAAATCCTTCTGCAACACTGGTTGCAGGTTCTTTCCACTCCTCAATGTGATGGCATTCACATGGTGTTTGGGATTAGCATCAGTTCTTCCTGGAAGAAATCCTTCTTGCCTCTGAACAGCTCCTGCAGTTTGGGCAACTTGAACATCAAGCTTCTTCATATGAGAGTTCAGACTCTCAATTTTTCCATTCAAATCCTGATAGAGCGAATCTATCTTGCCATTAAAGTCCACTGTAAGCTTCTGTTGTCCTTCCAAGATCTGTTCTAACATTGCTTCCATTTTATTCCCTTGTGGAGGTGCTGGTTGATAGGAAGAAGAACCATAGTTTCTGTAATTTCCACTGTTCTGGAATGGCTTCTGATACTCTGTCTTCTGGAATGGGGGTCTAGGAGTGAAACCAGGAGTGCTCTGTCCTCCTGTAAGGGCGTTCTTCTGATTATTGTTGCTGTATCCTCTGTTCCACTGTTGATTCCCATACCTTTGTCCCTGAAAACCACCAGAATTGATGAAATTTACATCCTCCTGCTCAACTTCCTCTGGAGCTTCGAAAGTTTCCACTTCTGCAGCAAAGTGAACCGACTTCTTCGCCACCAAAAGGCTGTGCATATCATCCAACTTAGCCTTAACTTCAGCAATCTGATTTCCATCAGCTACACCAGCTTGTTTCATCCTCTGGAAGTCTGCATTTTTAGTGCTGTTGCTGTAGACCCAGTTTTCAATCAGTCTGATCGCCTCTTCTGGTCTGTTGGTGTTGAAGTTTCCTGCACTTGCTGCATCCAGCGCCATCTGATATTCCCAGTCAATGCCTCTGAAGAAAATCCCAAATAATTGCACCTGACTGAAACCATGATGAGGACAGCCCCTTTGATAAGACTTGAACCTGATCCAAGAGGCCTTGAAAGCTTCAGTAGGGCCTTGTGTAAATGATGCAATTTTCGTCCTCATGTCCTCTGATCTTGCATCATCATAGAAGTTGTTCAAAAAGGCATTATTGGTGTCTTCCCAAGTGGTCAATGAAGCAGGTTCCAGTTGCTTCAGCCAATATGCAGCTTCTCCTTCAAGAGAGTAAGGAAAAAGCTTGCAGAACAGAAAGTCATTGCTAACCCCATTAGCTTTGACACTGGAAGCCAAGTCCTCAAATCTCTATGTGATCCATATGATGCTCATGAGGTAAACCATGGAATGGATGCTGGCCAACCAGCTGATAGTAGACTGGTTTAACCTCAAAATCGTTCCTCTGGAAGGCAGGAGGTCGGATTGCAGCTCTGTTGGCATAGAACTTATCAGGTCTGTTGTAGTCACCTAGAGTCCTCTGAACAAAACGCCCAGCAGCGTTATTGACAGCAGCAGGGACTCCCACGTTCTCAGCCACTTGCTGAACCTGCTGTTCAACAATGACATTCCCCTCTTGATCAATTCTCTGCCCCTCTTCGTTCCTCCTATTTTCTTCCCTGTCAACTAAGTGACCTTCTGCATCTTCAACCAAGATAAGTGGAGCGACCATTGTAGATTGCTTCTTAGCTTTCCTGTTAGTTCTCTCCAACCTAGTAAGCTCGTCGATGCTCAAAGTCACAAGCTCCTTCTCTTTGTTGCTTCTGGTTCTGCGATTAGGCATACACCTGAAACAGGAACAAAGAAAAGTAGCTAAAAGTCAGTAAACAAATAAAAACTTAGACAAAATCCTAATACTAAAAATCGATAGGCAGCTATCACTCCCCGGCAACGGCGCTAAAAACTTGATAGGGCTCAGGTTTTACCCAAATAAAACTACTGCAAGTGCACAGCAAAAGCAGTTGTAGTACAAGGGGTATCGAAATCCCAAGAGAGTAATGCAGACTACACTATCGAATGTAGATTCGGATTAAGCTAAGCAAGATATGATGTATGTAATGCGAATGAATGAATGAAAGTAAGCAAACGATTTTGTAAGATAATATAAGTTCCAGAAGACTAAAAGCGCTAAGTCAGGGTAGTTCGCAGGTTGAATCCAAGAATGTATGATGCAGGAAATCAGGAATGATTAAGACCCGTTTTAAACATGAAACACTGATGTATAACTAATCAATTCTCATTGCAAAAATTATTTATGCCTAAATCACAGAGTTTCAAATCTCTTTGCAAACCCTAACAACCTAAGCATGCAGGAATTATCAGATTCAATTGTTTACAAAACTACTAAGCCAAATCTATTTGCACTAAGTTGCTTTGCTCATCAAATACTAGTTCAGGTTATGAATAATGCTCTCACATATATTTAACAACCTAAAATTTTCGGATTCCTAGATGATGTGTCTCAGAAATTCGATTTTAAAGCAAGCAGAGATGAAAAACCATAAGATATTCCTAACAGATAGCGATTCTACAATCCTTTCATCAACCTTTGAAAAACCCTAACTTAACTTGCAGATTACTCAGACATGATTATGAGATCACAATACATAACTGAATAAAATTGCATTAAGAGAAAGAGTAAGAAATAAAGGGGGTTCGAAATCTTCTCAAAAGAGTACAGGATTTGTCTCCCCAAAAAGCTCTGAATAAATCTCTCTCTAAGCTCTCTGAATTCTCAAAAACTAAGATAATAGCCAACAATGGCTGAAAAACCTAATAAATAGAGGCTAAACACGATCTGGGGTCTTCATGTAAATAAAAGAACTTCTGAGCCAATTCTGCAAATCTTTTTCATACTTTTAATAATACAGCCATGCTCCTTCCTTGATGGGTGACGAGCATCACCAAAGGTGGTGACGAGCGTCACCATAAGGGATACTTTCTGCTTCGACTTTGGTACTTCGTGGCTTCAACCCAGAATACTCCAAAAGGTTCCAAAAACTCCAATTATGCTCCAGACATGCTATAACCTGCAAAGACTCTACTAGGACTCTAAAAAGACCAAAAAGACTCAATAAAAAGGACTTATATCATGGTTAAAAACCATAAAAACCATGATATATCACCTTGTACCAATAGAAAGTCCCCCTTCCCCAGTCCGTCTGACGAAAAGTCTTGATCTTGAGTTAACGGATTCTTCGAATTTTATTAACTCGGCGCGAATCTGGGTCGGCTCGGAGTGGGTCCGTGTACGGCCTCGTTGGTACAGACGTGGGTCCCAGTCGTTGCTTTAGGTCAAGTCGAGGCCCTCCCCTCTTCTTGTCTATAAATACCCCCTTCTCTTGTTTGTTTTTCTTCTGTCTTGACACTGCTCACAAAAGGTAAATTGTCCTCCTTCTCTCCTCTTTTTCTTCTCTCGATCTGTTTTTGGCTCTTTTACATTGTCCTCGTCTTGCGGCTGATATGAGATCTTTGAATATTCGTCCTACCATTCTGGGCTGCTCGGTGGTTGCTGAGTCTGATCGGCGATGATTGACTTCTGAAGTTATGATCCGAATTGATCCTCTCAATATCGGCACGATTTGAGATAGTGGATTTTGAGCTTACCTTTTGTCGATCTGGGATTTCGGAGGGTCGTCATTTGCGGTTGGTGACGACCGATTCCTGGTTTCCCTTTTGTGGTGGTTCGTTCGAGACCTTGCCTTTTAAGTCATTTTCTCGACATGGGACCCTGCAGAAATTACTGTTTGACGCTGGGTTGGTGTGCTTGAAGTTCTCCGTTTTGCCATCGTGTTGAGCTTCTGGTCAGGTTGCTGTCTTTGGGGTCAGGGTTAGCTATTTGCTTTGTAGATCGGCGTTTTTAGTAGGTGCAAGCCGTTTGTTCATTGCTGAGTCGGGCTCCGCATTTCCTCACGCTTCCGGAGGTCGGCTTTTCGAAGTTTCCTTATAAGATTGGCCGCTTCATTGTTGATTGGCTTGCATCGAGAATTGTTGAGATTTGCGGGCGAATTTTTGGGTGATGGGTGTTTACTAAAGTCGGCGAATTTTTAGGTCGTCCTTTGAAAGTGGTCGGCGAAGTTTCAGGTCGGCCTTTGCGAAGCAGGAGGGGTCGCTGTATTTATTGTTTATTATCCTCGGCTTTTTTGACTTATGGAGGTCGGCTTCTGCTATTATTGATGCCTGCTTTGTTTTTCTGTTGCTCCATTTGTTTTATCGATTTTGTCCTTGTATTGAATGATTTCTCTTGGATTTCGCAGGTCGGCACTTCCTTTCTCCTGCAGTCCCTCTTGCACCAAAGGTCGGCTACTCTCCTTTATTCATTTAAGTTAGCTTTTCTTTGCTGTATGTGAAATTTGGTCTATCCTGATTAGCTCGGTTAGTTTTACAGGATTGTTTCGATAGGTTAGTTTGTTCCTCTTAATTTTGTAGGTAGGTCGGCCAATGTCTCCGTAATTCTAGATTAGCTGATTGTAGATTGTTTGGTCTCTTAGTCGGTCGGGTTCGGTAGGTCGGCCGTTTATCAAGGTCATCTATTTAGATATAGATCGGTCGTTGAGTCCAGGCCGGTCATCGGGTTATGGGTCAGCCATTTTAGCTGTATTAAGGTCGGCCATATAAAGGTAGGTCGGCTATTAGTCATAGGTCAGCCATTGAATGTAGATCGGCTATTAGTCATAGGTCAGCCATTGAGTGTAGGATGGTTAGTGAGCATAGGTCGGCTGAGTGACAGGTCGATTAAGTACAACTGCTTGGAGGTCGGCCGGCCTATTTCACTTGTCGTTTGGGATCGGCTCGTTTTTGATTGTCGGTCTTAGGTCGGCCTTTGTTTCTAGTAGCGCTTCTAAGTTGGCCGTATTCTTAGGTCGGCTGTTTCTAGTTTGAGTAGAGGTCGCCTGTATTTAGCTTGGGATTAAACCGGCTATCGTTGACAGCTTCTCATTCCTTCTTTCAACCTTATTTCTTGCTGGTCGGCTCTCGATATTTAATTCCAGGTCGGCTATTATATCTAGTCTGATGGTTCGGCATATCTCACAGGTTGGTTTCCTTGCGCTTCTTAGTTTTTATAGGTCGGCTATCTTTATTATTTTCGCGGCAGAATTTTTTAGATTTCGGTAGGCGTTTTTAGGTAGGGCAAATCCTAGGTAGGCCATTCCCCCTTTTTTAAAAAAACTTGGTTGCCCTTTTCTTTTTTCAGATGGGGAGGACGCATCTTCCGAGAGGTGTTCAGCCACGAACTGCGGGGCGGCCGGATACGGTTGCCATTATCCTGAATGGGTTGAGGCCGGCCTCGCCTCCGGGGAGTATCGATTCGACGTGTTTTACTGGTGGTTCCGGATCGCCATCTTCCTCGGCTGAGACGAGATCAGGTCCGGATGGTTCTGATGCGGTTGTTGATACTCCTATGGCGAGTAGGGTAACTGGTCGCGTTGGCAATGTTAGTAGTGAGCGCGTCGTTTCGGCTCGTCCTGATGAAGGGTCCCCGGAGCCTTGGTCTCCTTTACAGTCTTCGGGCCGCGAGTTTCCTCGTTCCAAGTCGTCGGCACGATCTTTGGAGGATATTTGGGATGCTTGTGGGGTTGCCGATCTAGAGTTTCGAGTACCCGGTACGAACGAGCATCCTTGGACCCCTCCTCCGGGCAGGATTTTCCACTACGAGTTTTGGTTCGAGCATTGTCAGTTGTGGTTTCCGCTGCCGAAGCTCTTGTTGGACTATTGCGAGGCTAGGGAGATTGCATTGACTCAGCTTTGTCTGGGTGCGATCCGTAACATGGTCGGCGCGATTTTAGTGACGGAGTCATGCAATGTTGAGATGAGCCTCCGTTTCTTCGAGGAGATATCGAATGTAGGTTGGTATACAAGAAGGGCCCAGCAAACGGTTGCCGTGAATATGAGATCGGGGAACAAGGTCGTGACTAGCATTGCGAAGAAGTCGCATCGCTGGTGGGGGCGTTACTTCTATGCCCGGGTGAACTCGGCGTTAGTTTGTGGTGGCGATAATAGGACGTTCGTGGATCAATGGAGTCCCGAATTTGGTAGACTTGGTGATTTTCCTTGTTCCCGTTTTTGATGTTACTTAATTGATCTCTGTTCATTTCCTTTGCAGTTCTACATCCGGTCGGTGAGGAGCGTCCTGTGGATTTCGAGGAGGATCTTGCAAAGATACGACAGTTGGGGGTTCTGCATTGGTCGACGATTGTTGAAGCTCGAAGGGATAGAAAGTTTTCCCGTGGGATTACAGGTATTTGTTCGGTGTGTTTGCTTTTATAGCGAGTCATCCTTCTCCCTTTGGTTTTTTTTTTACGTCATTCGTCTTGTTTCCTAAACTTTGTTCTCGTTTCGCAGTTCATTTCGACGTGACAGGAAAGATGGAGAAGCGATTGTTGAATGCTCCCAAGTTCTCTGGCTAGAAAGCTCCGCCGGCATCCTCTGGAGATGTGGCCGGCTCGTCTTCGTTGGTTCGAAAAGTTGGTGAGAAGGACAAGAGGCCGGCCGAGCCGGAAGCGAGAGACGTGAGGAGCAAGTCGTTTCCGATTCGTTTCGTGCGGGTTAAGGATACCGCGGGAAAGGGGAAGGTCGGCGAGGCTCTTTCGGGGAAAGACCCGGGTCGTCCTGAGGGTTCCACTTTCGGCACTGTTGATCCCGTGCAGCGCGAAGGGCGCCCAATGGTGTTTTCGCTTTCTGCAGGTAAGGAAGCGTCGGGGAAAACAGTCGGCACGCCCGGTGAGGCGGTTGATGTGGTCGGCGGGCCTAGCAAAGTAGTCGAGGATGTCAGGGACTACTCTTTTTCGTATCGGTATGACGGGACTGATCTGTTTGCCTCTGACTCGGATGCTTGCGTCGACTTATACCGGAAGGTCAGTCATTCCCATAGGGAGTATCCTCCTTACAATGCTGATGCGTTCGGGGCGAAGATTTACCGGGCGATCGCTGTTTCTACTCTTTAGGTATTTCTTTTGGCATCCTTCTGCATTTTCCTCCTTTTCTTTGCTTGCTTGACGTCGAGGTTCATCTCTTTTTTTGATTTTGGACAGATGACGGTGAGCACCAACCAGCTCGATTTTCTGCTGCGCCGAGAGATGCGCAAACTAGGAGACGAGCTAGATGTTGAGCGATGAGCTAAGGTGTCCGCAGTCGAGAAGCAAAAGGCGGCCGAGCGGGAGGCAGCTGCAGCTGGGGAAAAGTTGAAGGCGGCTGAGAAGAGGGTGCTTGAGGAAGAGAAGCTCAAGGCCTCTCGTGACGAGGTGGAAGATTACAAGGAAAGGTGGGAGAAGGTAAAGGATCACTACCGCAATCTAAAGTTAGATTTGGCTAGGATCAGGAAGGAGAGAGACGATGGTACGATGGCCGAGAGGAGACGCGTTCTTAGTTTGGTTATTCCACAGTTCCGCGACCAGGTTGGCAAGTTCGAGAGGTTTTATAGGAGCAACGAGGTGGTTCACACTGCCGTTTCTACTTACACGATGGCTTCGGGTAATCTTTATGATTTTGTATTTGCAAGTAAAAGGCTTGATACTTGCTGGCGTAGTTTCGTCCTGACGTTTGATAGTGAATGCGTGTTCATTGGCCCCAGGTGTTTTTGACGCATTCACTTCGAGAGTGAGCGATAAGACTCATCTTCCTAAGGGTACGATGGCCAAGTTGGAGAGCGAGAGGGATACCGCTAAGGCGAAGGCCTTGGCGTTGGGGGCTGAAGACATCCAGGACGAAGACTTCGTCGTGGGTTTGGTTAGTGACTGGATGGCGCTCTTGGCTTCTCCTTCGCCGGTGGAGGCCCCGGCAGATCAGTACGGGAGTATGTCGGCGGGCCTTGCTTCTATAGACGTCTCCTCTCTTCGGTCCCCTGGTGTGAAAGGGCCTTAGTCGTTCCTCGTTTGTCGGCGTTGCATCGCTTTTTTTTTTTTTGAGGACTTGTACTCGTACGTCTGTTTTACTTGTTTCAGTTGAGCCTTGTCAGACTTCTTTTTCGTATCTTTCGGATTTTTGAGGTTGATGATCCTCTGCCTTAGTTATTTTGTTGTTATTTTGCTGTGATCCCTTTCGGTTATGCTAAGACTCTGATGCTCTTGTTATATTTAAAAAGCGGATCCTTTGCTTTCTTCTTTGATTTGATGGTGTCATTGTTTTCCGGGATTGAAATCGCAACATACTAAGTGGTCGGTTTACTTGTTCGTTTCAATCTCTTTATGCAGGTCGGAACCCAGCTTTGTTGAATCTGGGTGCCAGACTGGGCTCGGCTCATCCCGTTTAGATTTTGGGGACCGGGCCCGGCTTATGCGCCGATGAACTAAAAAATTTTAGTATCAAAGGTGTAGATTATTTCACCACTGTGTCATTGGAAGACGCGTTTTTCATCTTATAGAATTGATCACCTGGCCAGGGTGTCAATGTGTTTAGGCGGTCGGGTTGCGTTGAGAGTGGAGAATAGATTGACGTCTTAATATGATTTTTATTAAGTAATAGTTGGACCTTCGAAAAGACTACCTATGTACTCCTACATGGGGATCAAGCCGATCGTAGTTCGCATTACATAGATAGTTTCGGGAGCGTATATACATGTTTTATATATAAGTTGTTGAAGTGGAGGGGAGGCATGCTCGTCCATCAGAGTCAGAGTTGCCGAGCTACGGAGGTGATTTCGCGGCATCGGGTTGCAGGATCGGCGTGCTCAGGTTGTCGAGTTATCGGGGCGGTGTCTCAGCGTCAGGTTGCGGAAGAGGTATCGTGGTGCCGGATTGCAGGATCGGCATCCTCAAGGTCGTTGATTTCATCAGGATGGCGTCTCAGCGTCAGGTTACGGGGGCGGTATCGCGGTGCCGGACTGCAGAATCGGCGTGCTCAGGGTCGTTGATTTCGTCGGGATGGCGTCGCGGCGTCGGGTTGTGGAGGCGGCGTGGTTCGTCACTATTTTCTCATTCCATTTAATATTTTTTTTTATATATATAGCTGGACCTCCTAAAAGGTTGCCTACGTACCCAAGTGCGGGATCAAGCCGACCGTAGTTCTCATTCCTCTCTCCTTTTTTGTGGTCAAAGGAGGACCGACATCTTTAATAGTAGTATCTCTTGATGTGCATCATGTTCCATGACCTTGTGATTGCTTCTCCCGCCATCGTTGTCAGCTCGAAGACTCCTGGTTTGACGACGTTGGATATGATATAGGGTCCTTCCCATCCGGCGCCGAGTTTTCCTGCGTCTGGTTCTCGTGTGTTCTCGCAAACTTTACGAAGCACGAGGTCGCCTTCGGTGAAATGCCAACCTCGAACCTTTTTGTTATAGTACCGCCCCGCGAGTTGCTGATAGTTCTGGATTCTCAGTAGCGCTTGGTCCCGATCTCCTTCCAGTAGGTCGAGGTGATCCTTCATGAGTTCGTCATTGAGCGCCTCGTTTTGAGCTATCATTGTGTGTCGAAGGGATGAGATTCCTACTTCGGCTGGCGACATGGCCTCCATTCCGTGTGATAGGTTGAAGGGGGTCCTGTTTGTCGATCGTCGCGGCGAGGTCCTGTACGACCATAGCACTCCGTCGAGTTCGTCTGCCCAGGCGCTTTTCTTTGCATCGAGGTGCTTCTTGAGACCACCGAGAATTGTTTTGTTCGTTGCTTCAGCTTGTCCGTTACCTTGTGGGTACCGCGGGGTCGATTTATTTACCCGAATTCTCCACTTCGCGCAGAAATCTTCAAATATGCATGAGGTGGACTGGAAACCGTTGTCAGTGACGATCTAGAACGGTAGGCCGTGCCTGCAGATGATGAATTTCCAGACGAACTTCTGGACGTCGGCTGCAAGAATTTTAGTGTACGCTTCTGCTTCGACCCATTTCGTGAAGTAGTCTGTCATCACCAGTACGAACCTCTTCTGCCGCGATCTCGGGAGTGGTCCGATAATGTCCATCGCCCAGCGCATAAAAGGGTAAGGGGCTGTGGACTCCGTCAATAATTCTGATGGTACACAGATCGTCAGGGAGTGTCGTTGGCATTTTTCGCAGCGAGCAGTAAATTTTTCGCAGTCTGTGATCATGGTTTGCCAAAATAATCTGTGCTTCTTTATTTTTAGTGCTAGCGCCCGTCCTCCGGAGTGGTTGCCTCCTGCTCCTTCATGCATTTCTTTCATGACGCCTTGGATTTCGGTGGTGGGGACGCAGTGCAGAAGGACTCGCGATGCACTCCAACGGCAGAGAGTGTCATCGAGAAGAGTGTAATGGGATGATCGTGCTTTGAGACGCCGGGCTGCCCATTTTTCAGGCGGAACTTCTCCGTCGGAAAAGTACGCTATTATCTCTTCCCTCCAATCAAGCTCGACGAGCTCTCCGACCCTGTCCATCGGCTCAAAGTTGGTTTCGTCAGCGTCGTCGAGACCTTCTTCAAGTTCTGTGATGGCATATATTCCTTGGGCTTGTTCCACGCTTGGTTCGGAAACGAGGTCGTCCATTGGCTCGCGGCTGCTTTCGTCTGCATCGTCGAGACCCCCTTTCGCCAGTTCTATGCTTGGTTTGGGTATGCTTTCGCTGGGAATGAGTCGCCGCAGGTCTGGATCGGAAGTGGAAGCAAGTGCGGCGAGGACGTCGGCCGGCGAGTTGTCACTCTGCGGAATTTTGGTTAGCGTAAAGGCACCAAAGTCTTTTTCGAGATTCTGGACGACTCTGAGTTATGCGTCCATGCGTTCGTTCTTCGCCCCGTATTCTCCGTTGAATTGGCTCGCTACGAGCTGCGAGTCGTAAAATGCTTGAATTTGGCTTGCTCTTATTGCTTTTGTCAGACGCAAGCCAGCAATGAGTGCTTCGTATTCTGCTTCGTTATTGGATGCCGCGAACTCGAGTCGGAAAGATTGCTCAAGAATTTCCCCTATTGGAGATATAAGTCTGACTCTGATTCCTGACCTGTTGCGAGATGACGAGCCATCAACGTATAATGACTATATCTCCTTAGTTGGGAGGTCTGCACCGGCAGCCCCGGGTGGGAGCTCGATCAGGAAGTCGGCGAGAACTTGGAATTTTGCGCATGTTCTATTCTTGTAGTCGATGTCGTATTCGCTTAATTCGACGGCCCACTTGGCCATTTGGCCGGATTGGCTTGGACTGTGTAGGATTGTTCGTAAGGGGTGATTCGACAAGACGGTGATAGAGTGGGATTGAAAATACGGTCGCAGCTTTCGGGCTGCGGTGACTACTACCAAGGCTAACTTCTCCAGCATTGGATACCTTGTTTCAGGATCGTCGACTGCCTTGCTGACGTAGAAAATTGGCTTCTGCTCGCCGCGATCTTCTTTGACTAGGACTCCACTGACCGCGGAATGAGAGACTGCGACGTAGAGGTATAAGGTTTCGCCAAATTTGGGTTTTGCCAGCACAGGCGAGTCGATAGGTATTCCTTGAGTTGTTGGAAAGCCGCTTCGCATTTATCATCCCATTCGAACTTTTGTTTCCTCGTAGGAGTTGATAGAAAGGTAGGCATATGTCTGTTGATCAGGCGATAAATCTGTTAAGAGCTGTGATTCTGCCCGTCAGGCGCTGTACTTCTCTTGTGTTCTTCGGGGAGGGGAGTTCGAGGAGTGCAGCGATTTTCATGGGGTTAGCCTCGATTCCCCGTTTGGTGACGAGGTAGCCTAGAAATTCTCCCGATTTAACGGCGAAGGTGCACTTGGCCGGGTTTAACTTCATGTCGTACTCGTTGAGGCTTTTGAAACATCGTGCGAGGTGGTCGATATGGTCGTCGGTGTTGGCCGATTTGACGAGCATATATCGTCGATATATACTTCGTTGTTCTTATTGTGGTTGTAACTGCTGTTGTAGTGTTGTCGTGGCTCGTAGTACTCTTCTTTGGGTTTCTCCTTCGGGGTCGGCGCTTTTTGGGCGGCATACTTCTTAGTCTTTTCGGCCCTCTCTTCTTCGATCTTGATAAAGATTGTCACGCGGTGGAGTGCGTCTTCTAAGCTGCTCGGTCTGTTCTTTTTCAGTTCCTCGTAGAAGCTGAATTCGAACCAAAGTCCGTTTCGGAGCGCGGAGAGAGCTACGCTGTCGGACACGACCAGTCTGGAAACGATATTCTTAAATTTGCCTATGTACGATCGCAACAATTCTTTTGAGCCCTGGTGGAGTGTGTAAAGGTCGGATTCGAGAGCTCCGTGTTCAATATACATCGAATAATGCCGGAGGAATGCCAACAATAAATCTTCATATATGTCTATTGAGTTGGCTTTCAGTCGGGAGAACCAATTCAAAGCGGCACCGGTCAAGTTCTAGACAAACAGCTGGCAGTATCCTGCGTCGCGTTCGTGTGGTTGGAATTGGGTTCACCCCATGTCAATTGTGAAGGACTGTATGAATCCGGTGATCCGTCGTTCCGTCGTATGGTGCTACCTTAACTTTTCCCGGGTAACGAGCTGGGAAGTTGGTTATATTTTTCGTGAACGGTGTGTTCAGGGCTTCCTTTAGCACACGGTCGAGTTCTGGGGCCGAGCTTGTTGCCTGATGAACCTGGGAGCTCATTCGTTGCAATTGGGCTTTTAGCGCTTCAAATTCGCTGTCTAGCCGTTGATCTCGGCGATTGAGGTTGTTGATGGTGGCCTCCTGCGGACTTGGCTGTTCCAGGGTTCGGACGTTATCGTTTCCCGAATGTCTTTGGTTTGCTCGCTCGCAACCGATTATCGGGGGTCGGTCGGTCTGCTCGTTTGGACTAGCGTCCAGGTCTCCGAATAGTGCTCGTTGTAGATGTAGAGCGAAAGCGGTTGCGGTCGGCGTCTGCTCGTTGCCTCGGTTGTGGAGCTCGTCAATTCTGTTGTGACAAACATGTTGCGGCGTAGCCAGGTCGTCAAGTCACTCATTCATTCCACGTGTGCTCTTGGCCATTTAGGCGATGAGTATTTGGAGTAGGCTCGCCACGTCAGACTGTGCCGGGGGATTTTCGAGGGACATTGTCGGGCTTGGGGAGCTGTTGTGGTGAGAGATGGTCTCGTCGCAGGAACTGATCCTGTCGACCTTGTCAGAAAGACCGGTCTGGCGGGCAGAGTATACGTGCGATAGGCAGAAGCCATTGAGGTCGGCCTTGCTGATGATTCCTCTAGAGATGTCATTGGACTGCGTTCCTCCGACACCAGTGAGGTCGACATGGGGAGTGCCACGGAAGTCGACATAAGTGGTGTGGATGAAGTCAGCAAGAGCGGTATAGAAGAGGTCGGCAGGGGTGATACCATAGAGGTTGGCAAGAGCGGTATCGCTAAGGTCGGTGCGGGCGACATGGAGGAGGTCGGCGGGC